AAGGTAACAAAGTTACGGGCACCCAGCTACGTTGTCTCGGGCGGTAAGCTATACAAACGCTCCTACAACGGCACGTTACTGAGGTGTCTATACCAGATGAAGCCAAGTTGGTGATGAAAGAAGTCCACGAGGGGGTATGCTCCTCGCACCAAGGGGCGTACACCATCGCACGACGCATCATGTTACAGGGGTATTTTTGGCCCAAAATGCTGAGGGACTGCGCCGAGTATACAAAGCGATGTCCCAAGTGCCAAGAATTCCAGGCACTACCAGGTCGACCTACGACAAATTACACCCCGGTAAGTACCGCGATTCCTTTTTCAAGGTGGGGAATTGACCTGGTAGGGGCCCTTCCCACGGGGACTGGAAGCAGGAAGTACATCATTGTGGCCATCGACTATTTCACAAAGTGGGTGGAAGCCGAGCCCCTGGCGAGCATCACTGCAGTGAGGTGCAAAAGGTTTGTCGAGAAAAACATCCTGTATCGTTTCGGTATCCCTCTCCAGGTAATCACAGACAATGGTCGTCAGTTCGAGGCACGAGAATTTTCAGAATTCCTAGCAGGATGGGGCATTAAGCATAGCCGAGTGGCGGTATCTTATCCTCAGGCAAATGGGCAAGTGGAGAATGCGAACAGAACCAACCATCCTCGACGGCCACAAGAAAAAGCTAGAAGTAGCCGGCGGAGCTTGGGTGGAAGAACTCGACGGCATCCTCTGGGCCTACCGCATGACACCAAGAAGGGCCACCGGAGAAACCCCGTTTGCACTCGCCTATGGATTCGAAGCTCGAGCCCCGGTGGAAGTGATCATACCTAGCAGAAAGGTGGAGGAGCTCGAGTCAGATCAAAATGAACTCCACCAAAGGGTGGATTTGAACTTCTTAGATGAAAAAAGAGAAGCGGCATTCTGCATAATGGAGAACTACAGTCGTCAGCTAAAGTCCTACCACGACACAAAAGTCCGACCCCGATATTTCCAAGTCGGCGACCTCGTGTTGCAAAGAAGGGAAGCTAGCCAACCCCTGGAAGGGGGAAAATTCGCAAAGAAATGGGAGGGGCCTTACGTCGTAGAAGAGGTCGTTCGCCCAGGAACATACAAGTTAAAAACGACCAGGGGAAGGATGATCGATCGAGTATAGAACTCGGAACATTTAATCAAGTATTTTCCTTAAATATCCTGTAGTAGTAATCATTGGAACTAGTACTTGGTAATCGCGGTCCGTCTGCTCCAAATGCTAAAGTTCTCTGAAATAATATCTTATTTTCATGGTCCGTCCATGTTATTTAGTAAAGCAAGTTCGTTATCATCACTTACGAAGCTTTCTGAGATAATATCCTCGTGGTCTGCCCATGTTGTTAAAAAAAAAAAAAAAACCGAATGGCCTCGGCACGCCTATGCCACGGTTTGTCCACTAATTGTGCCACTGCGTCTCGGAGTCGAGTAGTTTCGTTGAAAGCGAAACTAGCCAAAAACCCTAAGGCCAACCGGTCAATTGAGTCGTATATGAGGGATATGCAAGCCATTGCCGATGACCTGGCCCTTGCTCAAAGCCCTGTCGCTGAAGAAGACTTCGTAGTGCACGTATTCACGCAACTGGGCGATGAATACAACTCGATTGTGGCAACTCTGCGGGTATGTACAGATCCTGTTTCATTTGGTGAACTGCATGACATGCTCACCGACTACGAGAGGTTGTTGAAAGATAATGAAACAGCCTCCCAAATTCATATGCCGATTGCTAACGCTACTCAACGGCGTTATAATGGCTCGGCTGACGCACAAAACACTAATCGTCGAGGCCGAGGTGACTTCACGTCTTCAGGGGGCCGCTAGAATCAGTCACGATCTTTTGGGAACCGGCCAGCAAGATACTGCAATTACTGTGACTATCCTGGGCACGACACCAAATTTTGCAAGAAGCTAGCCAAATTTCTGAAAGAAAATAATGTGGCTGTACTCGAGCCGCAAGGTACCAGGCGTCAATCCCCTACGGTTCATTCTACTTCTACCACGACTCCGCCCACACCATTGTGGCTCATGGACACAGGGGCCTCGCATCACACAGTGAATGATGCCATGCCCCTACACTCACTGCCGGACTACATCGGGCCTGATGAGATAATGCTGGGTGATGGTAAGTCTCTCCGAATCTCACATACTGGGTCAGTTTCAATTCCATCAACTAGCCGGTCACTTTTGTTGTCTAATGTATTGTGCGTTCCTAGCCTCCAACAAAATCTTATTTCAGTTTCAAAGTTGTGTAAGACTAACTCTATCTCGGTTGAATTCTTTGACACGCATTTTGCTGTCAAAGATCGGCAATCGGGAACTTCTCTCGTACAGGGTTTGGTCGTGAGTGATGTCTACAGCTTCTCAGATCAACGGTTTCAAGTGAATATAACCACCAAGTCGTCTTTGTCACGTTGGTATCATCAGTTTGGTCACCCTAGTTCTAATATTCTGGCTTGTTTGCTTAGAAATAATAATGTATATTTTAAGCCTGACGAACTTGGTTAAAGTATCTATTAGGTCCTTGTACTATAGTGCTTTGTTCAATTTAGTCCTTCTAGCTTAATTTTGTTCAATTTAGTCCCTGTACTTTTAAAAGTGAAACAATTAAGGACAATAGCTGATGTAGCGCTGACATTATATATGTCACGTCATCATACTTACATGCCAACTCATATATTATTTTATAAATATTTAAAATTAATTTTTTTTACCACCAATATATTACATTAATATGTCCAAAATAAATACATAAATATAAGCTATTGTCCTTAAGTGTTTCACTTTTAAAAGTACAGGGACTAAATTGAACAAAACTAAGGTAAAAGGATCATATTCAACAAAACACTATAGTATAGGGACCTCATAAGTACTTTGACCGACGAACTTAAAATGTTTTCATGTACCTCTTGTCACATCAATAAAGGTCACAAAATTCCATTTTCCTTTAGTTCAATGTCTAGTACCCGTCCGTTACAATTAGCTTACACGGATGTGTGGAGCTCGTCAACGACTTCGGTTGACGGGTTTAAGTAATATGTCAATTTTGTCGACCACTACACTAGGTATGTATGGTTGTTTCCTCTCAAACTCAAATCAGATGTCTACAGTACATTTTGTCAGTTTAAACGTATGGTCGAGAATTTCTTTAATTATAAGATTGTCCCGGTCTATTATGAAAATGGAGGCAAATATGTCAAATTGACACCTCTATTTACTACTTTGGGAATCTCTCATTATATTACACCTCCTCACACTCCGGAACACAAAGGAATGGCTGAAGGTCGGCACAGGCACATAATCGAGAGCGGTATGGCGCTTTTATATTATGCGTCCATGCCCTCTTCATTTTGGACCTATGCCTTCCAAACAACGATCTATCTAATAAATCGTATGCCTACTCATGTCCTAAACTATTCCACACCATATGCAAAATTGTTTCAGAAACAACCCAACTATATAAAAATACGGCTATTTGGATGTTTGTGTTATCCCTGGCTAAAGCCTTGTTTTCCAGCAAAGTTGGGTCCTAAATTCCTACCGTGTGTCTTCCTGGGATATTCCTTGAGTCAATCTGGATATAAATGTTTAGAAGTCAGTAGTGGTCGAATATATGTCTCGCGTCATTATGAATGAATTTCCCTATTGTGACTTAATATCTTCTGGATTATCATCTGTGCCCTAGTATTTGAGTTCAGATGAACCTCTGCCTTCCCTTATATCTTGCGATGCAGGTATTGATTGTCTACAGCCACTAGACTCTCATTGTGCCGTCTCTCTTCCAACAACGGCTACAGCATCGGTATCAACTACGGCTTCCTCACTGATCACGACTCAACCAGCGCCGCTTGTGGAGGCTCCGGTAGCCGCGTCGACTGGTGGTGCGTCGCAGATTCACCCAGCGTTGCAGCCCACTGGTTCGGAGTCGTCTGTGCCCGCCATGCCCACTGGACGGTCCTCGAAGCCTGACTCACCGGCTGCAACTTCTCTGCCGGCTGAGGATCATTCGCAACAAGAGGGGCCGGTGGAGGTCGCAGCTGCTGAGGCGGTAGTGTCAGTTGCTGGTTCTGTGGGCTCTATGGCAACGTCCTCGGTTGATTAACAGGTGGGGGTTGTCCAGGTGCGGAGGTCCACTCAGCCGCGACGACCGAATCCCAGGTATTATGGAGATAAGTTTGTCAATCTCACGACTTCACATCCTGTTACTTCTTCTTTGGAACCACGCACTGTCAACCATGCATTGAAGGATGATTTATGGCAGGCTGCTATGACGGATGAGTTTACTGCGTTAGTGAGTGATTGTAGTATATTTTCAAACAAATAAACTCGGAATAACGAGTTATCGATCCACAGAGAAGTGGGTGTATCAAGCACTAGCTACTAATATATTCTTATGAAGCTAATCCTAACGAAAAACATGGATGATTGATTAAACAAAACTAATGTAAAAACAAGCTTCAGGTTTTGAAACCAATAGAGAGAAGATGAGATTCCTGGGATTCAAGTATTTAATCACCTAGTGCCGATGAGAGTAAAGGTTTCAATTCGGTTCAGCAAAGATAAGAGTTACAATACTATAGGAAGTTGAAAGTACAAATAACTCCTATCTAATAGGTTAGTCACAAAAGACTTAACCAACTAACTACAATAATGTAAATACAATAATAATAATAACACTATTATTCACACACCCCCTCAAGCTCAAGGGTGGTGTGAGACGACGTTGAGCTTGTTACAAAGAGTCATAAACCGGGGTGCTGATAGTGGTTTGGTGAAGATATCTGCGAGCTGATCCTTAGTTGACACAAAGTTGACCACGAAATCACCCGAAGCGAGCTTGTCCCTGACAAAGTGAAAGTCGATTTCCACCTGCTTGGTCCTCGCGTGATACACTAGATTTGCACAAAGATATTTTGCCCCTAAATTGTCACACCATAGGATCGTCGGATCTCCCGAGTGTAACCCAAGTTCACGAAGAAATGAGACAATTCATGTGACGTCTGCGGAGACATCAGCTAATGCCTTATATTCAACCTTAGTCGAAGAGCGGGCCACGGTGCGCTGTTTCCTGGATAGCCACGACATGAGGTTAGAGCCCAAAAAGACGGCATACCCGCTTGTGCTCTTACGGTCCACCAGGCACCCGGCCCAATCAGAATCTGAGAAGGCGTGAATCGCTGTAGAGGCGTCAGCAGACAGATATAAACCACAGTCGAGTGTGCCTTTGACGTACTATAGCACCCGCTTTAATAGCCCCCAATGATCGTCAGTCGGTGAGTGCATGAATTGACAGAGACGGTTAACGGCATATGATAGGTCAGGCCGTGTGCTAGTGAGGTACTGTAAGGCTCCAGCCAGACGTCTGTACTGCGTGGATTCTCATACAGTTGATCCGAGGGTGTGACGGCTTGTGTGACAACAGCTGGTGTAGCCAGAGGTTTGTAATCTGTCATCCCGGCCCGGTTTAGGAGGTCGTTCATATACCGGCGCTGAGATAGGATGAGCCCATCTTTGTCTCGGATCGTTTCAATGCCCAAAAAGAACCCCGGAGTGCCAAGGTCACAGATCTTGAATGTTGTGGATAGACGTTGCAGCAGTGTGTCAATCAAAGAGGCGTCATTCCCCATCATAATGATGTCGTCCACATAGACCAGCAGAAATACCCGTGACGAACCAGTCATGTAGTGAAATAATGAGACATCAGTCTTGGAGGGAAAGAAGCCGGTCGATACTAAGTAGTCATGGAGGCGCTTGAACTAAGCCCGAGGTACCTGTTTAAGGCCAAAGAAGGAGCGCTGCAAGTGGCACACATAGTCAGGATGAACCGGGTCTTCATACCCGGGGGGTTGTTTCATGTATACGGTCTCTGTCAAGTGCCCATTTAGGAAGGCATTGTAGACATCTAGCTGACGAAGAGTCCACCCTCTTGACACGGCTATAGAAAATAACATGCGAACCGTGGTCGGTTTGACAACAGGACTGAACGTGTCAAAAAAGTCCTCCCCATCTACCTGGTTGAAACCCTTGGCTACGAGGCGAGCTTTATAGCGCTCTACTGAACCATCTAAGGTGCGTTTAGTGCGGAAAACCCATTTGCACCCAATCACGTTCATACTCGGCGTAGCCGGGATGAGTTTCCAAGTGCCATTGTGGAGTAATGCATTAAACTCCTGGTCCATGGCATCACGCCATTGTGGATGACCAACCGCTTGGGAATAGCACGTGGGATCTGTGGTGGCCCTCAAGGCATGAAACGGCTCATTCGTGCCACGAGTCATGTGACGAAGGCGCATGACATGCCCCCTTTCTTGCGGTTGAACCCGAGTGCGGGCCCTGGTGGTTGTGACCGTAGTAGGCGCTTCTAGTGCCAAAGGTGGCGGGTCCTGTCCCAACGGAGTTGGATTCGGTGATTGTGGTATGATGCCATGGGTCGATGGCAAAGCAACACCGTGGGGAACTAAAGGCCCGACAGCCCACGGTGCTGGATTAGTAGCTAGTTGATCTTGAGCTTGTAAAGTAGAATCTGTAAATGGAAAGTAAGTTTCGTCAAATCGGACATGACGACAGATAAAGACTTTCCCAGATGTTAGGTCCATGCACCTATAGCCCCTAAAAGACGGGGGATAACCTAGGAACACATAGGGTGCCTGAGATAGTGTAATCACCAGCACCCGAACACCCTTAGAAACGTGTATGGAGGAGACACTTTGTGTAACTGAGTGTATGGACTCTCAAACTTTAAGGCTGATGAGGGAAGATTAATCCCCACACAACTTAACAAAATGACGTCGTTTTGGGAGGCGCGGGGCGCACAGTGCTATGTGCACCGTGGTGCAGGGTATAACGATTGCCAAAAGGCTCTTATATAAAAAGCCTTAATGGCTTTTTATTTTAGTTTTTTTAATTAATTAATTAATTTATTTATTTATTAGGGGGTTTTGGGAAAAGATTAATCTTAATCTTTCCCCAAAATGTATATGTGTTGTTTTTGTTTTTAACAGTTTCGAGCAAATTGCGGAGTTATTAAATAATATTTTTGGTGTTTTGGTTAAAAACAAAATGTTAAAATGGCAGATTTGTTAAAAGTTTGACGAATTTGTCAATAATCAAACATGGTCATTATCTAATAATTAACATGACAATTAACAAATTAATTGTACAGGTATTAAAGTTCGTTTGGAAAGTTAAAAAAAAAAAAAAAAAGGCAAAAGTGTCAAATCGCACCATGAACCAATTGCGATTCTTCATGCCGCACCCTAACCTTTCATATATGCTGTTTCGATGCACAAACCATCAAATTTTGTTCGTCTAGACTTTTTAGCAGGTTTCCAGGTTACCTTGATGACATGGCAACAATTATGTGTTGATGTGGACTTATTTTTAAGATTCAACACTCATTTCAAGGTCTATGTGCTGATGTAGACTGAAGGCTATCCAACTGATCTTCAACGCTGAGCTCCTCTGTAAATCGCCCCGAAGTTTCGCCACCTTCATTATGCATCCGGCCGACCAATCTCAAAACCCAGAGGTACCGCCCTAGCGTTACCAGAATGACAGAGACAACATTACATAGTACTGTTTTTATGTTACTTAAAGTTAATTGTTCTTCATGATTTTTAGAAACTATTCTACTATTATGAGAATAGAAAACTGAACCAAACAGCCGAGAAGTCCCATAAAATACACAGGTTTAGGCCATGGCACACATAAAAGAAATGCTAACCTCAAACTTCACAAACCCTTTAATTTAACCTGGGTTTATACTCGGCAGGGCAAACAAGAAGAGAGTCTACATAAAGGCTTCCTTTCGTGTGCGTGCAATCAATCTGAGTCGTGGAAATTTTCAATTTCATCTATCTTTTTCCAAGAATCCGACACGACAAAATCTCCGGCGTGGTGGTAAACCCATTTCTCGGGTTCACTCAGGTAACACTCCGTCGTCGTCTCTTGCTGGCCGTCCGACGTCGAAAGTTGAAACCTGTTACAAATTTTCATCCGCCTTGGGTTCTTTTCCGGCTGGAGGCAGCGATGCTTGTAGTGTCCCTAGCTTCGCATTGGACGTTGACGACGATTCTTTAAGTGAAAGAGCAGCGGCAGTGACCGACGACCTACTCTTCTTCCTGCGACTGGTTTTTCTCCTGTTGTGGACTTGTGGGCGATTGAGAAACGTAGTAAGAGGAAGAGATAATGGCGTTTACTAACCTTACACGACGTCGGAATCCAAAGCCGCGTAGGGGGGGGGGGGAGGGGGGTCTGATAACCCAGGTTAACCACCAAGGGAGTAGCGAAGTCAACGCTAACCTTACGCACGGCAAATCACGATTGAAAACGTCCAAGAACTTTTTCCAACAGAGGTGACCGTCGGACTTCCTTCGTTCATAATCTCAGATGACCACCGGTAAAAGCATTTCAAGAAACAAGTAACGTTGTCGTTCAGACACCAAATACAGGAAAAACCTTAGCGGCGACGTAAAACCCACCGGGAACGCCGGAAACCGCTGCGACCATCCAACTTTCGACGAGTCGAAAATCCCAGTTTCATCGGCAAAAGAGGTCCGCCCTCCCTCGACGTCGCCGTCAAGAGGGAACGGGAGTCCGAGATGAGACATGAAAACATATAAGTCGGAGAACAATGGAGAGAAAAAAAATATATTGAGAAAGTAAAAAAAAAAAAAATGCCATGTCATATTTTTAATACATATTTAAATAAGTCAATAAAAAAATACCTCCACATCAGCATATTATAATGGGTAACTTGATGGCAACCTGCTAAAAAGTCTAGACGAACAAAATTTGATGGTTTATGCATCGAAACAGCATATATGAAAGGTCAGGATGCGGCATGAAGAATCGCAATTGGTTCATGGTGGGATTTGACACTTTTGCCAAAAAAAAATGATTTCTGGAAAATGAGTTTTTTTTTTTTTCCGAAAACATTTTTCTTTTCAATGTTTGACTGCACAACAGAAAATTGTTTTTGTGTATTTGAATCATTTTTTTTTGTGTGTATTTGATTTATTTTTCAGAAAATGTCTTTGTGTATTTGGTTCATTTTTCAAAAAATGAACATGAAAATGAGTAGAATTGTATACTTAAACATTTTCTATATATTCAAAAAAAAAACATTTTTATTGTTTTGTTTAGAATATAACAACTTTTATTTTAGATTCCATGCAACATAAGTTTTGGTTGTATTTAGTGGTGGTGGGCGGCGGTGGGTGATTGGCTGCCCCACTGCTGCAAACGAAAAATGGCTTCCACCAAAAAAAAAAAAAAAAAAAGGAATGTCATTTTTCAGAAAATTCTCTCTCAAGCCAAACACTAAACACCTAGAAAATGATTTATGGATTCATTTTTTGGGTTTCCAAACGCACATCTAGTATAATTGACTAATAATTATTATGATAACAAAGCTAATAATCTATCTATACTTATTATTAAAAAAAAAAATTCTTTATTTCATTTTTGCCTAATCACTTCTTCCCAAGCAATAGAAAAGGAAAAATGAAAAAGGAAACCGAATTAACTTATTAATAATAATAATAATAATAATAATAATAATAATAATAATAATAATAATAATAATAATAATAAAAATAAATAAATAAATAAATAAATAAATAAATAAATAAATAAATAATCTATATCTATACTATAATTAAAAATAAAATCCTATTTACTTGATTTCTCACTCAAACAATAGTAAATAGTAAAGGTAAATTAAAAAAGGAACGTAAATTAAAAAGGGAATAGAAATATGTCACAATAATATTCTACATCATCAATTAAAAATAGAACTAGAATTATGTATATTGGAAAATAAAATGAATATTAATAATTGACTGAAAATTGAAAATGGAAAAATGAATGGAAATTTGGTTAATTGAAAAAGGAAATGAATATTAATAATTGACTGAAATTTATTTTTTTTTAAAATCCATAATTGACCAAAATGGAAAAGAAATGGTCATATTATTGTATTTTAATTTTTCACAATAATATTACATAGTAGAATAAATCAAATCACAATTATATCATAAATCCTTCACAATTTCAAACAATGGAACGGAAATTAAAAATGAAAAGAAAATATTTCAATAATAATATTCTACATCATCAAGTAAAGGAAAATTAAAAATGAAAAGGAAATATTTCAATAATAATATTCTACATCATCAATAGTAAATGAATATTTTAAAAATAGTAAAGGTAAATTAAAAATGAAACGAAAATTAAAAATGAAACGGAAATATTTCAATAATAATATTCTACATTATCAAATAAAAATAGAACGGAAATTAGGTAAAAATATCATTGCATCTATATTCTAATTGACTAATTGTCTGAAAATAAAAAAAAATAATTGAATGAAAATGAATCTAATATTACTAATTGACTAAAAATATAAAAGGATATGAATATTAATAATTGATCACTAATTGAGTGATATTCTACCATTATATATTTTCACCCGAGTAACCAGTCTGGATGGACTGAAGGTGTTAGCTCTAGACGAGGATGGACAAGATTGTGTTGCCACTACCAATGCCGTCTACAGAGGCGGAGGGACAGAGAAGGTCATAGGGTGAGAAGCGAAGAGGTGGGGAAAAAGTTGGGAGCGACGGAGAGGCGGAGACAAGGCTGTGAGCGACGGAAAGGCAGAGATTTAGCCAAAGACCAAATAGGTTTCGCCTGTCATAGTCTTTAGAGATGATGGCTGGGTGGAGTCATGGAGTGATTGAGACACAGAAAGAGTTTTAGGTGAGGAGAGGGAGAGGCAAGTGGCGCAAATGAGGGTTGAAGTTTGAATCCCTAACATTAAGCCTATATATATATATATATATATATATATATATATATATATATATATATATATATATATATATATATATATATAGGGTTGCATTCAAATACAAACCCCCTTAAAATACAAACTTGAGCTCGTGCACACATTAACATACTTACATGCACATAGTGCGCACTGCCAACAATTTCTAGGATTAGCTCGTGCACACATTAACATACTTACATGCTCACAGCGCGTAGGAGGAAAAATCACAACCATCCATCAAAGATCGTGCACACATTAACATACTTACATGCACACAACGCGTATGAGGGAAAAATCACAACCATCCATCAAAGCTCTTGCACACATTAACATACTTACATGCACACTGGACACACTGCCGACAATATTTGGGATTAGTTCGTGCACACATTAACATACTTACATGCACACAGTTTGTATTTTAAGGGGGATTTGTATTTTAAGGGGGGTTTGTATTTGAAATTAATCATATATATATATATATATATATATATATATATATATATATATATATATATATATATATATATATATATATATATATATATATATATATATATATATATATATATATATATATATATATATATATAGATGTGTATTCAAATGAGGACAAGTATATTATAGAGGACTGTAAGGACAGATGTAGTGTTTGTCATTAGTCGGTATATCGTGTGCATGGCCGAATGTAGTCGTGTGCCACAGTTTGTTTGTCGCGTGCTAGATTTGTTAATTTATAGAGCCTGGGTTCGAAACCTGATGTTTACATTTATTCTTGTATGCCATTATGTATTAAGTTGTGTGCCTGGTATTAATTTGTTGTGTGCCCATTATTTGTCCTCATAGTCCTCTATATATTGTTGTCCTCATTTGAACTCAACCCTATATATATATATATATATATATATATATATATATATATATATATATATATATATATATATATATATATATATATATATTGAAAGGTTCCCATGCGGATGAATGCTTCTCGTGCGGATGTACGGTTGATTAATGTGCGTGAGTGTTGTGCTTAATGTGCCTGGGATTTGTACTTAATGTGCGTGAATGTGTAAAATGCAGCAGAAAATATTGATGTCAGCTTCTTCCCCATCCCAGTAGCCATTGCCCCCTCCCTGATGATGATGATGCGGAGGCGGGCTATGGTGGTTAAGAATTATGGGAATAATACAACAGAAATCCACACTTAGCTGCTGTGCATATTTTATTGTGCGTGCGTCATCTATATAAACATTCAACTGCACTGAAGGTAGCTGATAATCCAGAATCCATGGCCAAATTGAAGGAAGAAGTAACAAGAAGCTTGGTCGTTAATGTGCGTGAGTTTCTGTTCTGCTTCCTTCTGAGCACGTAATTATGAAATACTCACGCATATTAAGCACAAATCTCATGCACATTAAACACAATACTCAGGCACATTAAGTACAAAACTCACGCATATTAACATGACGCACATTAAGTACAAATCTCAGGCACATTGAGTACAAATCTCACGCACATTAAGTATAAACCTCACGCACATTAATCCACCGCACATCCGCACGGGAAGCAACAAATGCACCTGATCCCTTCCCTATATATATATATATATATATATATATATATATATATATATATATATATATATATATATATATATATATATATGAAAAAGTTCAAATGCAGCGAGACCTTCCCGTGCAGCGATTTTTAGAATACTCACAACAATGAAATACAAAATACACCAAAAAATACACATCTACAAAATAAAATATACCATATAACTCCCTACCACTAATGGTGTATTTTTGGAGATATATATATATATATAAAAGATCAAATGCAGCGAGACCTTCCCGTGTGGCGGTTTTTAGAATACTCACAACAATGAAATACAAAATACACCAAAAAATACACATCTACAAAAAAAAAAATACACCATATAACTCCCTACCACTAATGGTGTATTTTTTAGAGATGTGTACCTAATTTGTGTGTGTTTTTGTAGTGCATTTTTTAACGTTAATGATGTATATTTTTTTTTTTTAACTATTGCTGTATTCTGAAAACCGCCGCATGGCAGCACTGCTGCATTTTTTAACGTTAATGGTGTATATATAGGGAAGGGTTCATGATGAATATTATTTTCACTGTTATTTTAAATAATATTTTTATAGTTAATTTGCAATAAGTAACTAATTTTATATTTATTTTTTATTTATTATTGTTATATTTAGTTTTATTAATATTGTTTAATTTTAAGTTGTTTTAATTATTGAAGTTGTTCTATTATTTGAATTTTGTCAGTCTAATAATTCCTTGATCCTAATTTAATAATAATAATAATAATATTAATTGTAGTAGTACATGATCAACAGGAGTTTAATAAATGTAGATTAGTTATATATGGACTCTAATAAGATTATTATTATTATTATTATTATTATTATTATTATTATTATTATTTTCTTCATGTCAATCGTAAGATGCGGACGAAGAGAGAACCGACCGATTCGCACGAATCAGAGCGCCGAAAGAAATGGTCACTTTACACAGTTCGCACCAAGAATTGGAGCTAATCACATGGATCATGTATCAGTATAGCAGAAGAATGGTTGAGGCTAATGGGTATAAAATGGGTGCAAATACGAAGGGAGAGGATCATCAATTTTGCCCAGGACCAATTCCGGTGGCGGTGAACAGAGACTCTCCGTTGGCGGCAAAAATTTCGGTCGGTACGGCTTATTGTGGTGGCGGCGAGGTTTGGGCGTGTGATTCATCTTTTGGCGCAGCAGTAGTGGCATAAGCAATTCTTTTACTTTCTTCATTTTCCTACCTTTTACCTTTTAATTTCACATTTTTGGAATCTGTGTTGTGCTTCTAAAGCAAATCATGAATTCATTAAAGCAAATCATGAATTAATTATGCTTAATTTATTGGTGATATTGTTCTGATGAAGAGTTTGTCTCCTGGTTGCGTTTCAAAGCTTTTGCACTGTAATCAATATTTATAATCTTTATCTAAGCTAGAAGGTGTTTACGGTTAATTGTTAATCTCAATTTCATTTAACATTTTAATATGATTTGCTAAATTGTTCTTCTAGGAATGATATTGTTATGAATGTTTTGTAATCATTTAAGCGTAATTTTGCCAATTGAATTATGTTTTATACTTTGTTCGTAAATGGTTATTAATTCATGTTCCTAGGCTTTCTCATCTTGATTGTTATTTGATTTCTTTGGTTCCTAACGATTCATTTACTTATTTATTGAATTTTAATTTAATTATCCTGCACTCGAGTTGATTCTTATCTTTGATCTTCGTTTTTATCATTATTAAATTGTTAAGTCAGTTACTTTAATTTCAAGTTATTAAATTGCATTGCATCAATTCTCTGTGGGATCGACCTTTGCATTTGCACACTATTACTACAGTGATTCGTGCACTTGCGAGGACTATTAAAATTGTCCATCAATTTTTGGCGTCGTTGCCAGGGAATTGTTTAACTTGCAATTTAAATTTTTGTTCTTTTTCTTTCCTTAATTGCTTGATTTTTTCGCTCCCTTCATTATTGTCATCTCTTTCATTTTTAATCTTGCATTTTATTTAACTCATTCGTCCATTTCTTAACACGGCTTGATTTTTTTTTCTCCATCTCTTTATTATTATTGTCATTTGTTTTTTTCTTTTTATCCTTGCTTATTTATTTGATTCATTAGTCCATTATACTTTTTGAATTTTTTTTTTCTCACAAATCAAAATTTGAAATCTTCCACTTTTTGAAAGAAAAAAAAAATGAATGAGCTTACCGACTTGGCTTTTCAAATAAACAGATTATCCAAACAAGTGGATAATATGTGCTTTTTTGTAAGCTCAAACCACAATAATCCTTTTAATAATGGTTTTGGACAGACACATCCAATGAATGTTTTTAATCAAAGCCCTGTGCATGACCCGTTTTATAATTCTTATAATTCGGGTTGGGTCACCCTAATTTTTATTGGGGTAATAATCAAAATGAGTTTCAACCATATCATTCTAATTTCTCTTGGGATGATAATCAACATGATTATCAATCAAGTCGTCCTACTTTTTGGGATGATGATAAAAAATATTTTCAACTTAGTCATCCTAATTTTTATTGGGGTCATAGTCAAAATGATTTTCAACCAGTTGAGTCACCCCAACCTAAAAACCCATCTTTGGAAGATACCTTGCAGGATTATATACAGACCTTCAATAGGCGGCAAGAAGCTTATGAGCATCAAATGCAGCAAGAAGCAGATGAGAACCGATTCCAACAACATGAAGCTTCTTTGAAAAAATTAGAAATACAAGTGAGGCAAATCGCCGAAGCTTTGCAAGGAAATGTGCCAGGTAAGTTACCTAGTCAACTTGAGGAAGCTAAGCTTGGTGAAATGATTGGAAACAAAATAAAAGATAATATCAATTGTCAACAAACTGAAATGATTGAAAAATTGACTAATGATGTTGATGATATTGTTGTTGAAAAGGATGAGCCTCAATTGCATAAATCTGATAACCTTTATGTGCCTCCCAAGCTTTATGTGCCCCCAGTCCCTGTTGATGAAAGCTTTGAAAACACCAAACTTATACAAAATAAAGATTGTGAGGAAGAGGAGCCTTATGTATCACCCAAGCCTTATGTGCCCTCAGTTCCTTATCCAAATAGACTAAAAAGTTATGTGCCTGAAACGGTAAGTGAAATGGTACAAAAAGAATTGCCCCCAATCCTTATTGATGCTCAAACAGACAAATTGACCAAAAATGTGCTTGCTGAAACTGCTGAGTTTCCAATTTTTACATCTATGAATCTGTCTGATAGATCTAACCAAGTTTTTGCAGTTAAGAGGTTGAATTTTGCTGATGATGGTAAGTTGGAGTTTGATAAAATTCAAAAAGAAAATCTTTTGAATGTCGTTGATAAATCAGTTTGTTCTTATTATTCTCAAACTGCAGGGCCATATGAGAATTTCACAAATAAAAAATCTAATAAAGGAGGACTCTCTTTGTCTTCTTTTCTTTCCTCTCACAAAATTGGGGGCAATGTTGAAAATAAGTGTAGGGAAGGGGTTCTACCCACAAATCACAAAAAAATTAAAAAATTTTAAAATTTTAAATTTTCTTATGTATATTTTCTTAAGCCATTTTATTTTAAAACTCTAGCATTAGTTGAGCTTTGTCCTAAGTCTTTTAAATATTCGGTGATGAAAATAATGCATATTTTTTGTCAACTCTTAGTGTGTATATTGCTTTTGACTAGTTGTTAATTTCTTTAATTTTATATCTTTGTCAAAAAACCAAAAAAAAAAACAAAAAAAAAATCCAAAAATATCAAATATAGACAAAAACAAAAAAAATATCATAAATAGAATTTACAAAATCACAAATACCCTTATATGTTTTATGCATTTTATTTAATAGTTTATATGTTGGTTTCACTTTATATTACCTTTTTCAAATTCTTAAATAAATTCTTGAGTGCTATAAATTGTGGTGTAGTTTGTTGATTCAAGGATCATCTTTATGGCATAAGTGGGGTGAAAAGAAAAGATTTAAAAAAAAAAAAAATATATATATATATATATATATATATATATATATATATATATATATATATATATATATATATATATATATATATAGGGTCAGGTTCCTGTGAGGTCAGGTCTTCCCGTGCGGTCAGTGCGACATACACCATTAGATATGCATAAATGCACCACACAGTGTTCGTAAATACACTATATGTGTGGTGTATTTTATTTTTGTGTGGTGCATTTTTGGGCATTTCATTCTGGTGTATTTTCGAATATTGTATGGTGCATTTATGCATACCTAACGGTGTATGCCGCACTGACCGCACGGGAAGACCTGACCTCACATGAACCAAAATCTATATATATATATATATATATATATATATATATATATATATATATATATATATATATATATATATATATATATATATATATATATATATATATATATATATATATATATATATATATATATATATATGAGAGTGTTTGTTTATTTATTTATTCTATTTGCAATAAATCAGAGATTCTACTCCGCTGAATCAGCCACCTACACATGTACCATAAATAAATAAATAAGTGTCGTGGTCTGGTTTATGAGTACACACAAAATTGAAAACCAAACATGCCTGGCGTAAACTGGCGAGGTTTTTTGAGGAAGTTCTCTTTGGAAAAAGTCGTAAATAAAAAAAATAATGAGTGAACTTTGGAATAGACGAGCATTTGCATTTTAAATTTCAATAAATGTCTTCGATCTTTGTTTCTTTCATGTTTTGCACCTGCACTGTGATAGAATATTTTCTGAATTTGGTTTAGCTATGTTGCATTTGGTGAAATTTTTCATATTTATTCTATTGAGTTTTTGTATAGTTCATATAAGGGGTATCAGCACACGAGCACAAGTTTTATATTTATTTTAGTTGCTAAAATTTTTAATTTCTAGTCAATTGTTTTATGCATTCTTTGAGTTGACATTAATTTTGCATTGATGAGGCAAATAAATTTGAAAGGCTATTTGGATAAAGTTTGATCTAATATTTGATTTTTTTTATTTTCTTTTTAATAATGCCTTTGCTTGAGGACAAGCAAATAAATAAGTGTGGGGAGATTTGATGAATATTATTTTTACTGTTATTTTAAATAATATTTTTATAGTTAATTTGAAATAAGTAACTAATTTTATATCTATTTTTATTTATTATTTTTATATTTAGTTTTATTAATACTGTTTAATTTTAAGTTGTTTTAATTATTAAAGTTGTTCTATTATTTGAATTCTGTCAGTCTAATAATTCCTTGATCCTAAGTTAATAATAATAATAATAATAATAATAATAATAATAATAATAATAATAATAATAATAATAATAATAATAATAATAATAATAATAATAATAATAATAATTGTAGTAGTACATGATCAGCAGGAGTTTAATAAATGTAGATTAGTTATATATGGACTCTAATAAGATTATTATTATTATTATTATTATTATTATTATTATTATTATTATTATTATTATTATTATTATTATTATTATTATTATTATTATTATTTTCTTCATGTCAATCGTAAGAAGCGGACGAAGAGAGAACCGACTGATTCGCACGAATCAGAGCGCCGAAAGAAATGGTCACTTTACACAGTTCGCACCAACAATTGGAGCTAATCACATGAATCATGTATCAGTATAGCAGAAGAATGGTTGAGGCTAATGGGTATAAAATGGGTGCAAATACGAAGGGAGAGGATCATCAATTTTGCCCCGGACCAATTCTAGTGGCGGTGATCAGAGACTCTCCGTTCGCGGCAAAAATTTCGGTTGGTACGTCTGATTATGGTGGCCGCGAGGTCTGGGCTTGTGATTCATCTTTTGGCGCAGCAGTAGTGGCATAAGCAATTCTTTTACTTTCTTCATTTTCCTACCTTTTACCTTTTAATTTCACATTTTTGGAATTTGTGTTATGCTTCTAAAGCAAATCATGAATTAATTATGCTTAATTTATTGGTGATATTGTTCTGATGAATAGTTTGTCTCCTGGTTGCGTATCAAAGCTTTTGCACTGTAATCAATATTTATAATCTTTATCTAGAAGGTGTTTAGGGTTAATTGTTAATCTCAATTTCATTTAACATTTTAATATGATTTGCTAAATTGTTCTTCTAGGAATGATATTGTTATGAATGTTTTGTAAACATTTAAGCGTAATTTTACCAATTGAATTATGTTTTATACATTGTTCATAAATGGTTAATAATTCATGTTCCTAGGCTTTCTCATCTTGATTGTTATTTGATTTCTTTGGTTCCTAACGATTCATTTACTTATCTTCTTGAATTTTAATTTAATTATCCTGCACTTGAGTTGATTCTTATCTTTGATCTTCGTTTTTATCATTATTAAGTTGTTAAGTCAGTTAATTTAATTTCAAGTTATTAAATTGCATTGCATCAATTCCCTGTGGGATCGACCTTTGCCTTTGCACACTATTACTACAGTGATTCGTGCACTTGCAAGGACTATTAAAATTGTCCATCAGTTCATGTGCGGGTATAGCTTCCCGTGCGGTTGTGCGGTTAGATTTGAGTCGTTGATCAAATCTAGATCAACGGCTCAAATCAATGAAAATTTAAATAAAAAAAAAAACGCGTGTCTGGAAGAAAGCCACGCACCTTTAAGTGTTAGATCTTAAGCACAAACTGACGCACATTAAGTACAAAACCCACGCACATTAAGCACAATCTCACGCGCATTAAACACAAAACCCATGCATTTAAGTATTAACTCACAGACCTTAAGTTTCAACAACTACTGACATTAAGCACAAACTCACGCATATTAAGTACAAAACCCACACACATTAAGCACAATCTCACGCACATTAAACACAAAATCCACGCACTTTAAGTATTAACTCACAGACTTTAAGTTTCAACAATTACTGACATTAATCACTAACCTCACACACAATAAGCACAAACCCTATGCAAATTAAGCACAAACTCCACTCACATTAAGAACAAATCTCACGCATCTTAAACACAAAAGCCCAAACTTTAAGTTTTACCAACTACTCACATTAAGCACAACCCCACGCACATTATGCACAAAACTCACGCACCTTATGCACAAGACTCACACATCTTATATACAAAACTCACGCACATTAATCACAGAACCGCTCACATTAATTTTGACCTATATTCAAAAATTACAAAATTACCACCGCATTTTTTAAAAAAATTTTGGTAATCCTGGACGTTGGTTTAAGCGAGATAAATGGCCCAGATTAAACCGCACAATCGCACCTAAGCACTTTAACCGCACCAAAACCTAATTCTATATATATATATATATATATATATATATATATATATATATATATATATATATATATATATATATATATATATATATATATATATATATATTGAAAGGTTCTCGTGCGGTTGAATGTTTCCCGTGCGGTTGTGCGGTTGATTAATGTGCGTGAGATTTGTACTCAATGTGCGTGAGATTTATACTCAATGTGCGTGAGTGTTGTGCTTAATGTGCCTGAGATTTGTATTTAATGTGCGTAAACGGGGGTTATCTCTATTGACTACGTGATGTCAAAAGATAACGTAGCGGCCGCTAACTCGCTAACCCGAGGGTAAGCAAATGGTTGTGGAGAAATTGGAACGAGGAATGGGTCTAATGCCCTTGGACTAAAAGTTCTATAGTGGATACCCAACCTAGCTGACACCTAGGTTCAATGGGACAACTAAATTATGGAACGGAGCGTGTCACTGTGGGGGTCTCGGACTCCCTACCACTCCTCGTTAGAAACAGTGACTCCCGCGTAAGGTTAGCATGTTGATGCTTTAGTGATTCGAATGTCGGTTGACATGTGTGAGTATGCGGGATACTCGGAAAAGAATCACCTATGTGAGAGAGAAGTGAGGGTCGCTTCAAAGGAGAATTGATGGGCGCAATTCTTCACAAACTCTTGCAGAACCAGGACGGTGACCCGCGACCAAAATGGGCACACTAATGAGAACAGAGCATGGTTGGGAGGTTCCTGTGTGAGATATGTCATCGTCTACACAAACGGCAGTCGGTTCAAAGACATCGCGTTCTACCGTACAGCCAGTAGAGTAAATATATCTTCACAAGGGAAGGTTCAAAGGGTATAGTGATCCCTACCTATCCTATGCAGGGATCGACCGTTAAACACAGTTGTTTCCGATTTCAAAATACCCTGAAAATCATTTTTCATTAATGTGGGGGATTGTTGGAAAAATAGCATTAAAATGATATTTTGAGCGATTATTTTGTGGTACAAATATATGTGGGATCCACTTCCGATTTGGGTCGGGTCAAGGTGGATTCGGGTTCTTCGTAGTGAGACGAAGAATTTGATATAATGTACGCTCAAAATGGGTAATAGGTGAATGAGAAATTGATTCTCAAAGTGAACCTATTTGAGAGAAGTCAAAATTTAAGATTAATGCTAATCAAGAATTAGCATTAGATTCGTGCTACTTATGTTTCGTTGTAGCACTTTCGTGTTGTGCCAATCAGGCATGCTAGTATTTAAATTATTAAAACACTATGCATGTGCTGGCAGCACATCACGTGCAACTTAAATTTGATAAGCTTTGAAAGCTTAATTATGGAAATTGGGGTGATGCATTATGCATGTGGACGAAAGTTATGCAATTAAAACATTGAAAGCTTAATTAGTGAATTAAGCTTTTGAGCTCCTTTCGTGTGAGCTACTTTCGTGCTGCACGAGTCAATGCTATGTGCATTGATTCGTGCCACACCGTTTCGGTACTTTGCGGACCATTCGGGTGTGGTTTTCGGTCCCAATTCGTTAACCTTTCGGATTTGTACGGACTTCTCGGTCACTCAGATATTTGAAACGGGTCGTTATGGTCGGTACGAATTAATCGGATATTAAGTTCGTGACCGTTGATATTATTTCGATAATAAGTACGACCGTTTCAAACGTTATAATTCAATTTTTAAATTGAATTTATGTTGGTTAATGTGTCATGATGATGCTATTTAGTACCAATCTCCTATATAAAGATGTGGTGGGAGCAACCTTTTTGAAAACAATGTTAGAAAGGAAGTGAACGTGAGGGAAGAACAAGAGAGACACAACACACAAAGATAAGCACATTTTCTTCTCAAAACTCTACTCCTACTTCTTTCTAGCTACTGTGTTTTGCCCGTGCTCTAGTTCGCCGGGTTCGTTCGTTTGGGTGCTCAAACGTCGAACCGTTGTACGTTTTATCCTGGGAAACCTAGGCCACAACGCTCCTAGCACTTTTGGGAGGTGGCAAATAAGGTTTTAAGGAAAGACAGGCACTTTGCCTAACTCGTACATTTCTTTCTTTCTTCTTCTTTCTTGTTTTGGATTATGCTCTAAGCAAAAATCCGTTCTTTCTTGTTGTTTTGGAATTATAATCTAAGGATTATATTTTTTTTTTGGTTGATATATATTGGTATATCTTTTTCGTAGATATACATGTATATATAATCGTTAGGTCCGTTTTATATATATTTGTGTGTATATATATATTTCGGATATATATCCAATAATATTTTATATATATTTCGTGTGTATATATATATATAAATATTATTTTACGGATATTAAATCGATTGTGGTTCATTATCTCCAACATATATATATATATATATATATATATATATATATATATATATATATATATATATATATATATATATATATATATATATATATATATATATATAAAAGATGACAAGTAGAATGCAAGCATCTACATAAATACTCAAATGTGTGTGTATTAAGAGTACATAGAAATGGATAACACATAGACAGCAAACGTCATAACACACATATATTCAACCTAGAAATTGATTTGAATATATTATATATATAATATAATTCCTTAGCTTATATCTAGTGTTACATGCATGTCACTAAAACATTGCTGTAATGCTGTTACACAACACTTCAAACTCGAAAATTAAATAATGAGAAACATGAAAATTAAGGTATATAATAACAATAATTATAATTAATTATTATTATTATTATTATTATAAAGACATATATATTATATAGTTTTACATCATCATCGATCATCATCATCCTTCTTTTGACATCTCCTTGAGGAAGTTCTTTGCATGAAGACCAATTCCTTTTGCCTCTGATCTCTTCATGATCCTTAATCTCTTGCACGACTCTACAAACATACTACAAAAAGTTGTTTCTATTTAGAATGACTTGTATAGATACATGATAAGAAATCCGCAACTATTATTTGAGAGTGCGTATATATTGTATAAATAAATGAACCCAATTAATTTTTTTTTTTTTTTTTTTTTTTTTTGTGATGAAGAAAACACACAACTACTACTCGATGGTGTGGACATGGTAAACCCTGCTTTATAATCCTAGCTGGCAAAGGACCACAAGAAGGTAAACTAGCCTAGATTGTCCAAAGCTGATCGGCTCAAACCAAAAAAATTAAAGCCTATAGGCTACTCCCACTAAGGGCTCGTTTGGTTTGCGGAAAATATTTTAAGGGAAGTGGAATTGAAATTCCATGGAAAAACAATTACTAAGAAGATGAATTTCATTGTTTGGTTGGTGGAAAAAGAATTACTGGGAATACTAATTCTATTGTTTAGTTAGATTTAGAATTATAAGGAATAACGAGTATAAAGACTTATATGCCCCTACAAATTAATAAGATTAATCTTTATCTTTATCTTCTTTATCTTTATATTATATATAATAAAGCGGAATCTAGCAACAAAATTTTTCCTCCAAAGTATGAATGCATTTTGATAGAAACAAGATTAGCAAGTATGAATGCATTAATTGTGTGGGTAGATGTATTTATACATTTTTTTTTTAATATTATGTGTATTTATATTTTATAAATTATACTTTATTATTATAGCTCTATCTCTATCTCTATATATATTAAAGCATAATGAAGTATAGAAAAAAGTTTATTATGTTCAAATTTATTGGCAAAGTTTTATATTTAATATATTTGTGTATATATTCATTTAAACCTCAAGTATAATTAATTTGACTCCACATATATAAAGATAAGAAATTAGATATAAAATAAATATAGTTCTTACATAAATAATCTTTTTCAAATGAATAAGTTTTTGGTGGAGATTTTCGACAAATATTGCCAGTTATTTTATTTACAAGTTTTATTTAAATAAGTTAGTTATATAATTAAAGTAATTATTTCAAATTCAAATTCAAATAATAATACAAATAACAATAAACTTTAAAATCAACATAATAGCATAATTAAACTTTTACAAATATTAAATATTACATTGTATAGTTATACTTATATTTTTAATAAAACTAATTCTAAGCTCAAGAACTCAAGTACATTTTTCTGTTTCCACAACCATTACTTTCTTTCCCAATTCAGAGGATGTCAAAATTTTAATTGATAAATTTGTTAAATTAATAATAGTTCGTACATCGCACGGGACAATTACTAGTACAATTAAAAAAGAAAATAAGGGTAAAATAGGTAATTCATATCACTTTTTCTTCCCATCTTCCATGAAAAACAAAATCCTTGGTCCAACCAAGGATTTTGTTTTCCTCAAATTTGAGGAATTCATTTTCCAATGGAAAATGAATCCATGAACCAAACACTAGAAGACAACATTTTCCTCCACTTTAAGGAAAATATTTTCCTTTGAAAAACATTTTCCATGAACCAAACATACCCTTAAGAGTTTAACTTGAAACCTTATCATTACCAAGTTGGTCAATAATTTGATCAACTCGACTGGGATTATTCTGTATAAATTGTTTTCAATATTGAGTATATGTAGACATGGAGAAGAGGTTAAAATAAGTGATGATTGTAATTGAGACATATATATATATATATATATATATATATATATATATATATATATATATCCAGCAGACATGAACTTGAAGTTTCTATCACTTCATTATTACGTTACACGGAATCTTATATTTTGGTGAAAAATGTGGCCCTATAAAAGTTTAGTTTCCGATGCAAATGATGTCCTGCTTGACCTCACTGCCGACCACGACAATTTTGTCGAAATTACACGCTTGTCGGCACTATACTTTCATTTCAAATTAATATAAACTTAATTATTAACTCCTTTAAACATCTTCAGTTTTAGTCTCAGGGTGTCCTATATATATTCATTCAATATGTATAATCATGATAATGTTGTCCTATATGCTCATTATTGATTGCTGGACAATTAGATTTTATTGTCTAACCGATATCACAATTTTAATACACACTACAATTTAATTTGATAGTGTATAGAAGAAAATAATAATACTACATCTACTTTCACTCATTAATCTTATCAAAATTCTTTACCATGTAACGTGGTAATACAAGTAAATTTCTTTTAAACACAATGCGGAGCCATGCAATTAAAAGTAATCAATGAATAAATTAAAAAAAGTTTTATTGTCACGTCGCACGTTAAATGGTAAAAAAAAAAATTAAAAAATTATCGATATAAGTTTATTTATTTTTTACCCTCTATTATTGTGTCATTTTCTAATTAGTCCAAAAAATATAGTAAACTATAAATTTTATTCTTTACTTATTGTTTTTATTTAAAGAAAATACTCCTTATATATAATATATCTAAAGGTGTGACATAGTTTTAGCGTTATTTTTTTAAACTTGCAACCAGTATCTCATGATTATATTGTAATAGCTCACAAATCATATAAGAGAGATAAATCATAACAGAAATACCATATGATGGACTCGACCAAAAAAATATAAAAAATTAAACTTTCAAATATTAAAATCATGTTACACCCACCCAATCACCTTTTTCAGAGCAACATAGTTTCAGTGCTGTTAAGAAACAATTGGAGAGATAATAGCTATGGCACCAATTAGTTATTGACACATCACACACGCATCAAGTAAAATCATATTTCTCTTTTAAGTGCAATAATATTTGAGTCAATATCTACAAATGAATAACACGTGAGGATTTTATTGAATTTTATGTTTTTTTTTTGTTTGTTTTTTTTTTTTTTTTTTTTTTTTTGTTGAAGACCTTTTAATAAATAATAATGATCATGTTTATATTTTCCATTTTTTTATATTTAAAATTCTATCGTTTTCCAAGATTTAATGTGACAACTCCATGTACTTACCATGTCTCAATTATTAGCACACTAATGTTTAATGAAGAAAGTGAAGTGTGTCTAAATTATTCTCAGATCAGACAAACCTAAAATCAGTTCGTGTAATTATTATACCCAATTTTTTTTTAATGGATATGCTCTAAATAAATAGAAATAAAAATAATAATAAATAATTCAAAAGAAATATATATTATTACCCCCAGGGAACATCTCCAACCAGCATCCAGTCTCCATCCTTGTCCTCGTATATGGGAGCGTACTCCGAACTGTCTGCATCCTTCAACGCCTCACCTGTCCCCATTTTAATTTCAAACAATTTTAATTTTACCCGTCAAATTTACTATTTAAATATATTTTTTTAATAATACACTTTTTATGCAATTTTAAAATATATAAATTTAATAAAATAACATTTTTAATTCATCAATTATATTTGTAGTGTCTAAATTATATAAAATGAAAAATTTATATTCTCTTAATTTTCAAACAAGCAGCGTTTTTTGCACCACATGACAAAAAGTGTTAACTATCTAACTGAGAAAAGGTATGTGCATGTAAACAACTTTCTGAACGATCGGTGGGACTAAATTAAAAAGCTAGCTACTTTGAGCATGTTTGGTAAAATAGTTAATTTATCACTCAATTATGACTTGTTTGACTACTATTAGCTATTTAACTTGATTAAACAACTAATATGAATGTTTGATTAATTAGCTAATACTAAAATTAACATTTTATAGGTAGATAAACCCACTAACCCAATTAGCAACTATTAACTAACAACTATTTACCAAACACCCCATAAATTTACATACACCTCAAAGCATTTAGAAATTAAATTGATATACACTTAGATATAACTTAGGGTCTAAAAATGTTATATTTTTAAAAATAAATTAAATAAGACGGATGTATGTATGAACAGATACTACATCCTAATACTAAAAAAAAAAAAGGACTTACCAATTCCGCGGCAGTCAAAGAGGTTGTCAAGAGCGATGAGGAGATGAGAATAGGTTTTGTGAGTGGTGAGGTCAATCTTGCGTAGGAATGGCGCCCCATCCATGCTCACCTTCACGTACATTTTCTTTCCCTCGTCGCTATTATTCTTCCTCCGGTAAGAACACACCGGCGGCCACCCCACCACCTGCTGCTTCTTCTTATTGTTATTATTATTGCTACTGCTCCGGTCATGATCGTCGCCGCCGTCAATCATCTCGGAGAAAACCCTTTTCTTCTCACCCGTCGTACCCTTGTCGGCTCCGCCGTGTCCGCTCCCCGGCAGACCCAACCTCAGCTCAGTAATCTCCAGTCCTAACCCACTCTTCGCCGCCATATCAATCAACCAAAGCTAGCAAATATTTTTTTAGTTTTCTGGGAATTTGATCGAACGAGCTGAGGTCTTAAAGCTAAGACAGAATTGAATTGAAGAAGGTATGTAGAGAGGTTTTATAAGACAGAATTGATGGTGGGAACAATGCCAGATCAAGGAAGTTCAGTGGTCGGTCACATGAAATACAATGGTGGGGGGTGGGGTGGGGGTGGGGGTCCTTATTATCTATCTACCTAAATTACTTACTGGCCATTGCCGGAATGCTACAATAATATAATTGTAGTCGGGGCCGAGGCGGGGCAGACCAGATCGTACGGCTCTGGATTTTCCTCATTTTTTCCACAGATTTTCTGTTTACCGTGTGATGTGCTGCCCAGGAACATCCCATGTGATCTGCTTCATTCGTTGAGGGATAGGATTCTTCATCACAAATTTTTATTTCTGCATAATCTCTACTTCAATTAATTATATTAACAAATTAGAACTCATTATTTTAATTGACAAATCAATTTATTATTTAATATAACACAATAAAATGTATATGTATTTTGAATGCAGTATACTTCTCAAACAAATACCTGGAGTATCGGTTATTGATTCACAGGGAAGTGAGGCATATCGAGCACTAGCTACTAATGTATTCTTGTGAAGCTAATCCTAATGATTATCATGGATGGTTGATTAAAGTAATTAAAGGAAAACAAAATATGCTGGTTTGTGAAAACAATAAGGAGAGATTGAGATTCTTGGGATTCAAGTATTTAATTTCCTAGTTCCAATCTTATTAACAATATTAAAAGTGGGTTTAAACAAGTCTGAGAATGCAAATGTGGTATAGAGCTACTCCCGTAATCTCTAACCCTAGTGAATATTCACTCTCGTGATATAAACACCCAACAATATAAGAACAAACATTCATAATAAATCTCTAATTGCTACCATCTCCCGATGTGCAATAACTAAGAATCAAACTCCATAACATATTTGTCTTCTCCCAAGGTGCAACAGTTAAGTGCAATTGTGAGTGCCATAAATTATGCCCAACTCCCGTTGTGACACAAAGAAAGCTATGAAACAAGTAATTACATCCGTCAAGTACTAGCATCAAACAATATAATCACAATTGCAACACAAGTTATAACCCAAATAATAATATATTAAGAATTATAGAACTAGGCACATAGGTTCATACATACTTTTACCAAAGAATCTCTAAAGTGAATTAGCTACACATGGCTAATATGCAATACATAGCAATTATTAAGAGTTTACACGTAATATAAAAGAGTACAAGAATTAAACTAAATGATTCTCCCAAATCTCCCTAGCTTGCTTTTTGCTTCCCTAGACAACTTGTGGCTCTTGATTCTCTTCTTTCTTGTCTCCAAAACTGAGCATAATTTCTTCTAGGGTTGAACCAAGGCGGGATTTTATAGCGGGAACCAAACCGGGGGCAAAATAGGAAGTTTTCCGCCCAAATTTCGAAGCTGCCAAAATCGGACCCGACGCATCAAGTCTGTGGCGTAGTATTTCACAGTTCGGCACTGCAACTTCTCGATGCGTCGAGCCTTCGGCTGGACTCCCGAATCGCTCATGGAACTTCTTGACGCATCGAGTTTGCTGAGCTCCGATCGGACTGGCTTCTGGAATATTTGGACGCGTCGAATCTCGCGTTTCAGCACCAAACTCGTCTTAAAACTTTCCTTGCTTTTGCACTTGACCTACAATGGTTCCAAAACACTAACAAACAAAGTAAAACATTCAAAACAAGTGTAAACCATATCTAAATTAGAAACAAGGGAATATGCAATTAAAGTGACATTTTCATGAACTCAATACCAACAAATATGCTCCAACTAATATTACAAACATGTACAATTAGGCTCACATCATATTTGATGGTTTTGCTGGAACCGGGTCCACCATAAACCGGGTATAAATGTATAAAACAAGGGTAAGAAAATAATAATATTATTAGTTAGGACGTTAGACCCAAAATAATACGTACAACGGTCCGAGACACGAAATGGCAACCCAAATACAAAGGTCAAGGCCCAAAGGATGGGCTATGAATGACTAAGTTATTAATAGGAATCAAACCCAGACAAAAGGGTTGAGAGTACAAGAAAGGACCACCCTAATAGGAAGCCAGACACCCTATTTATAGTGAGCCACCTTCATCCTGTACCGTCCACGTGTATGTCTCACGATCCCACTTCACCTCAAACCAACACGTATCCCACGTCCCAATACACGTCACACCACCCATACCACCACCCACCCACCCCCACGCCACGCCACGCCAACCGGATAGCGGGTGCAGGGATGCGCACCAGGTGCACTGGGCACGCCGTGGCCAGCTAGGACCAACGCCCCATCTGGAAGGCCACGAGGCCGGCTGCCACCCCAGCCCCGTTCTAACGCCACACCCCGCGAAGGGAGGGGGGGGGGGCAGCGGCACGCTAGCCACGCCATCGCCGGCCAGGGCTAGCGCCCCGGCAGGCGACCCACCTCGTCCGCTAGCTGATGAATGTCTAAAACTAATGCTTTTTCCTTGTGCATTTTAGTGTTTTTGCTTGTTACTCATTATATTATAGATTCATTTTGGTCACTTATGAATTTATTGCGTGTGTTAGGTGATTTGACAAAGAAATGATGTTTTGAAGCATTCTATGAAGTATTTGATCAAGTTTTTGGTGTCACCTTAACACGAAGATGCATTTGGTTAACAAAAGTGATGTTGTTTAGAGTTTAACACGTTTTTGGGATGGATCATAGCGTGACCTGAGGCTGAGGAGAGCATCAAAGTGATCACCGACACAATCGAAGGCGTACCCGGCTAGCCGCGACGTGCCCGCACCCGTAGTTACCAGGCAAAATTCATTGCCTGGTAGCCACAGGTGTGGCCACGGCCGTGGCCACATCCGTGGCCACTGGGCAGATGTTTCTGCCTGGTGGCCACGGCCGTGGCCAGCTCCCTGTTTTTTTTCTAGCAGCGCAATTTGACTCTTTTTAAAGGGAACTTTTCCTCTCTTGAAGACATTTTTCATTTCTCTTTCACTCTATAGCTAGGGTTAACTTTAGAATAGCTTAGATAGGTGTAGATTGGTTGTTTCTTTTCATTTTCCAAGCTCAAGAACATTGCAAATCTTGGATTTCAAGACTTCAATAGAGAAGTGTTCTTTTTATCTCTTCTCTTTACTTTTCATTTATGCTTTCAATTACTCTTTCAACATTGTGTATCTTTTGTTATATTATGAGTAGCTAAGTGTTTTGGGACTAGGATTTGGTTTGATTTCTTGCTATTGATGCCCATTTGAGTTGTATTGCATAAAGGGGATTATTTGGGTGATCTAGGGTTGTTGTGTGAAATGGGTTTGTTGAGAAATTTGTGTATGATTGTTGGATCCCAATTATATGCTTGATTTGGAGTGTGTTTGTTGCTACGAGAGTAGAGCTTGTACACTAGCCACACATTCACGCACTTAATGCCTAATACGAGAGTATTTCGGGTATTAAGGAGATTTATTGCCTTGTGTTCTTGCTTGGGCAACCTTGGGTTGAATTGCCACGAGAGTGGAGTTTAAGGTGAGGTTGCAAGTCCAAATAGCTACAAGAGTGGTATTTGGACACTTTTGTGCATCTCACTTACCCTAAGCCTCGATTTAATTCCCTAATCCTTAGTACAATAGTGGCATCTTAGCTTGAATCAACCAAGTCCCGGTCCTTTGTTTTACTTGTCTTATTTGTTATTAGCTTAATCATATCAAACCATCTCCTTATCGATAGGTCTAGCTTCTAAAAGGGTAGTTTTAGCTTGTGCTTAACTCTACTTTACATCAATTCCTAACATTACAAGAGCCATCTCCAGTGGAACGATATCTAAACTCTATTCTGTAATTTGATACTTGATGGATGTGTGAAAAAAGTAACTCATCAAATTTGGCGCCGTTGCCGGGGATGGCTTGGTTTTGATTGTTTTGTGGTCGTTAACATTAGTGAATGACTATTCTAGGAGACTAGACCATTTTTTTTTCTTTGTTTTTATTTTACTCTTCTTACCTTTTGCTCTAGTTTTCTTTGCTTGAAGGGTCATCTTTGAACTTATATGCACACAAGATCCAAAGGAGTTGGAGGTTTGCAACCACTTGACTTGGAAATTGAGAGAGGTGTCAAGCAAAGGCGAAGAAAGCACCGTTCCATTCTTCAACAACAAAGAGTAGCCATGGAGAGCACAAGCCAAGGAGTCACCCGTGATACTTCGGAACAAGAAGGGGAACACCATGTTCCAAATCCTCAAAATGATCCTAGGAGGGTTCCGGTTCAAAATGACTATCAACAAGTTCCTATTGAAGAACAGGCTCATATCCCTCCTCAAGTGCCTAGTCCTCGACATCAAGGGATGCCTCAACAAGGTTTTCAACCTCATGAAATTCCACCTCTTGGAGATGCACCACAAGGGAATCATCCTCATGCTCCACCGCCATACCATTATCCATATCCACCTCCCCCTCCTTATCACTATGGATACTATTATCCACCGGGACCAACACCACAACCTCAAGTGCCCCGAGCTCCAATGCCACAACCTAGAGGTCCCCAACAAAGGATGAGATTGCTTGATTATGTTGCGGGGGATATTGATGAGGAGGATAGTATCTACTACCCGGGAGTGGAAGCGAACAACTTTGAAATAAAGCCGGCAATGATTTCCTTGATTTCTAATAATCAATTTGGAGGCTCAAAGAGTGAAGATCCTACAAGTCACATGAGGCAATTTCTAAGGGTTTGCAAGACCTTGAAGATTAATGGAGTTTCAGTTGATGTCATCCGATTGAGGTTGTTCCCATTCTCACTTAGAGATGATGCACAAGTGTGGCTTGATTCCCATCCTGCCGATCATTTCCAAACTTGGGATCAACTTCATCATGAGTTTATGAGAGAGTTTTATCCACCATCAAAAGCTTCAAGGTTGAAGAAACAAATCCAACAGTTTAGACAAATGCCTTCTGAGTCTTTGTATGAAGCATGGAAGAGATACAAAGATCTACAAAGACAATGCCCTCATCATAATATGTCTACTGGGGATTTGATTGTTTCTTTCTATGAGGATCTTTCTGATAACTCCAAAGTCATTGTCAATTCTTCTTCAAATGGTGCTTTCATGGAGCTAGAGC